GTAAAAAAGATACGTAAATATATAACAGTGCCAAAATTTTAGTAACTAAACGTGTCGTCTGTAGGCGGACTTAATGTCCTGGCAAATGATAGGTATATATGAGACGATGCAGCTCTCAAGTGTTCATATATTTGTTTACACCACAGTTTGAGGAAGACGTGGAAAAGTTTTATATTTTATATAATAATTATTAAACTTTTAAAATTAATTATTGAAAATGTTTGTCAATCTGTGTGTTGCATTGTTATTGTTTATTTTGTGCTCTGCGATTGATGGGCGACCGGCTGGCAATAAGAAAGTTGATATTCGACAGTTTGTCAAGAGTGATAGCGGAGCCATAACATTTTTAGAAGAGAAACCTGCTACGGTGCCAGTTGTCTTTGAAAACAGATTCGGTATCCGAGTGGGTACCTGCCCAATTGGATACGTTAGAAGAGGCTTCGTTTGCTTCCCGGCCTAAAGTTGTGTGTTGATAATGTTTAGAAAGTTTTTTAGTTGTAATCAGTTTTAATTTGTATGTGTTATAGTTAATAGCACTGACATTTAATTTTAATTTAAAATGTAAAATTGACGATTCAAAAGAGCTTGTAAAAGGCTATTTGAATAAAGCATATTTTGATTTGATTTGAATGTTTTTTTTAAGCTGTGTGTATAATAAATGTTTATTTTATAAGTTAAAAAAACCCTCGGAATTCTGTTAAAAATACTGTTACGAATATTTTTTTATGCAATAACATATTTTCAAAACATTAATGCTTATTGTATTAATACTGTAATTTCACAACAGAAAACACATACTTTTCAATAAATAATATTCTTTTTATTTACTGACTTATCGATCTATACAGATAAATATATAATATTGAATGTAATATATAATTTGTAAATGGCTCATACGTGTAAATAATATAAATTATAGGACATTCATTCACTCATCTATAGGTACATATAATAAAATTCTGAGTCGCATCTGTACATCAAATATTTTTTTGAAAATCTTATTGAAATAGACATTATTATCGATACAGAGGCCGAATCTATAGTTTTTAGATTTTTTTCTGTCTGTCTGGGAACGCACCGCGAGAAAACCACAGCACACAGATTTTGATGAAATTTGTAAGACGATATTTTAAATAAAACTATCTTTTCGGATTATTTCGTGGATTTATTTGGATTTTTGGTTCCCGCCGTTTTGAATGCTTTACAGCGCACATGGTCACGGGAGAGACTGAGGTTATAGACGTCTAAAACACATACTTGTTACAGACAGCACCTACCCACTATTTTACAAAGATGATTTCAAAAATAAATATGGAAATAAAGTATCTTACAATATTTGTTGATTTTTATTTCTAAACTTTTTTTAATAAGTAGGTATTACAATTAAATATTATTTATTTAATTTTAGCTGTTAGTATTATATTACAATTTTTAAAAAACTTTATTATTTACTAATATTATTTAGTGTTGCTATTATTATATTATGTATAACCATAAAGAATATTAAAAATAAAAAAATATTAATTATTTATCTAAGCAATAAAAATTAATTATTGAAACGCACGCCATTGGTCAGACCAAATGTGACGTCAAAGTATATTATAACAGAGCGATTAGCGATTCTGTCGCTACAAAATAAAGTAGTCATTTTTCTATGTAATAAAAAAATACTGTGATGTCAAGATAAGCGCGCGAAATGGCGGGCATTTAAAGTATCCGTATCGGTATGATATTTTTCATTTTTAATTATAGTTTTTTGGAGCTGGACATATGTTTTACAATTATATAACGATGTTAGTATAAAACTATATACTTATACGATATAAAAAAAAACACGCATATTCCCTATTGATCTTTAAAAATGAAAAAATTACCGATTTTTGTTACCAATTTATATTGTTTTTCAGATACTGGAACGAATCTGCGAGACAGGCTTGTCCCGATGCAGATGAATCAGAAGGAATTACTTTAGAGAGTTTAGGTAAGAATACGTTCGCTTTTATTTAAAAAAAAACAATGTTTCTTTGCACACCGGCATGTGTGTGTGTGTGTGTGTGTGTGTGTGTGTGTGTGTGTGTGTGCGTGTGTGTGTGTGACTAATTAAACAGTTAAATCGACAATAATTATCTTTAAAGATTACATTACATTATGTTGGGACATTAACACACAGCACCATCTAGTTCCATGATAAGCTACGACGTTTGTGTTATGGATACCAGATAGTTCATACACTACACATATACATATAAATTTAAATACATGCATATTATAAATATAAACATCCATTACTAGAGTACAAGAATTCGTGCTCATCACACAAATGAGCGCCCCCAGCGGGACTCGAACCCGCGACCGCTGGCACAGCAAGTAGAATCACTACAAACTGAGCCAAACGTATCGTCAAAACCAAGCTTTATAAGCTTGGTTTTTATAACCAAGCTATAAAAATCAAGCTTTGCTCGTTTTTTTGTAGGTGGCGTATTTATCGCGACTTTATTTGGTCTGGGCTTAGCAATGATCACATTAGCTTGGGAAGTATTCTATTATAAGCGTAAAGACAAAAATAAAGTGGCAGCCCTAGACGCGACCATAGAGAAGAAAGTAGCATTCGTAGACAAAATACCCAAAAAAATGGAAGGCGTGGCAAAATTGAGAAAAAGAAATAAGAAGAGTGGTAATTTAGTGAAGAATGTCACGATTGGTGATCAATTTAAACCGGCTGATAAAGGAGTTTCTTATATAAGCGTTTATCCTAAATCTATGGACTATAGACCATAGACAATTTTTTTCTTAGAGTTAATGTTTGTTATAGTTTTTACACCATAGTATTTGTTATTGCATATTTAAGACATATAAAAAAGTGTGTGTGTGTGTGTGCAATTCACACACGGTAAAAGTGAAACTTTAGAAAAGTACCTACGAGGGAATGAGATGAACATATATTTATGTGTTTGTCTCTTTCTCGTGTCGCATTTCCGTTTCATAGTTTCAAATCGCAACGATTCTAAAGAAGTTTCACTACAAAAAAAAGTACTATATCTTATGTAGAATTAAAATTACCTTGTTTTAGCACTGCTTTAAATAGGGTCAATAAAATAAGATAATATCAAAAATTAACAAAATTAGAAGATTTGGCCATATAGTTTCAGCAACCCTAACTAATATTATAAATAAAAAAGTGTGTATGTAGATCTATTCTTATTTTACGTAGCCCAATGGCACTTGGGGGTTGGTCTTGAAGGGGGTAAATTGCATCTCTTTGTTATGAAGAAAAATATATAGAAAAAAAGTGAGGTTCTGAAATTCGTTCATATTAGGCATATTTGTGTGTGTTGTGTGTTTTAGGAATCAAAATGATCAAAAAAGAACAGTAAATTTTCTATACAGAACACTACATTTATTATTTTATTTCTAATTACTTCAATATGAAAAAGGAAACCAAAAAAAAACCCAACCCCAATCTGATCAATTCTTTAGTATCCCATAACTTGACAACTATACCTCAAATAAAAAAAAAATTATGCGTACATGTTCATATCCCCTAAACTCCTAAAGTTACAAATATGCCTAATATGAACGAATTTCAGAACCACACTTTTTTCGCTGTCCGCTTCACGTGAAACGCCCCAAAAGTAAAAAAAACATTATATGAGTAAATTCCGTTAAAATTTAGGTTATCTGCGAAAAGAGGGTAAAAAAATATTTAAAAAAATATTATATTTATGAATAAAAATTATAAAGTTAATCGATAAACATTAGTTAGTAGTTTTATGTGAAGAAATTTACTTTAATTTACAAATTGCACAAAATATGTTCTTAAACACTGAATTCACCAAAAAATATATAAAATAAACAAATATATTATATTTAATGGTTTTATTTTATTTTTCCATGCTGATATAATTATTTAATTATTAATTTCGTAAAAAACGTTAGTACGTTTTAACGTATAGTATAGATTTCTCAGAGATGAGATATTTTCCCGCAGTAAAAAGTATCCTAATATGTTGATTCGGATAACCAGCTATCATCATACAAAATTTCATCAAAATCCTTCTAATGGTGTATCTGTGATGCGGTAACAGACAGACAGACGAAAATTCTAAAAACTATAGATTCGGCCTCTGTATCGATAATGTATGTATATTTCAATAAGATTTTCCAAAAAATATTTAATGTACAGATTCGGCTTAGTTACAGTTTTATTGTACATATGTATAGATTTAGTAAATAATAATAGCATGAATTCTCTTCAGGAAAAGAAAAATAGTTCAAATAAATGTCAATAGATGGCGTTAGATGTATGGATTGATTTTATTAATGTATGTATGTATGTATGAAATTAATAAAAAAAAACAAGATATATATATACTAGCTACTTATCTTCGCTTCGCTATACGTTTTAATTTTTTTGAGCGGAGCCCTAATTCTTTTTCTAAAATAAAAGTAGCCTATGTTACTCCCTATAACATCAGCTATCTTCCAGTGAAAGTCCCATTAAAATCGGTCCAGTCCTTTCTGAGATTAGCCGGAACAAACAGACAAATTTTGAAAAAAAAAATGTGTTTTTCTTATAAGTACCGTATATAATTTCATATGCATTCAGTAAAAATGGGTAATTTTGACATTACAAAAAGACACTTCAATTTTATTTATCTGTGTACATTCGGAAAAGGTATATTTAAAAAAGAATAATAAGTTCTTAAACAATAATTTTACTTAAAATAATTGAAAAATTTGTCGTTAGGTATTGAATTTTTAATTTATATTAATAAAATTATAATCAATCAATAGGTAATTGAAATAAAATGTATAACCATAAAAAACTCTAAATCATAATTCATAAGCCGAAACGTAAACTATCCTATTTTCTTAAATTTTAAATTAATTGTGATGCCAGTTTAGAAAATGTATCCATTTGTTTCTATATTAATAGGTTATAAAACTAAAAAAGTGTTGCCATAAATAAAAATACATTTACACATATACATCGTTTATTACCAAAAAACCCTTGAAGTTGGTTTTTCAAGGATTTCGCTCTTAGAATCTAACAGTTTCTTACCGAATTCTATTCTAAAGTGGTCGAAATTCATATACTCGCCGTCATTTACTTCGAGTAGCAGTTTCCTGACTCTCTCCTTTGATTTCTCCACAAAACATGCGGAGAGTTTCATCTCTAACTCTCCGTTGCGAAGACCGATGCAATATGCTCTAAAAATACCAAACTTTTCAGTAAAAATGCCTTATTAGGAAAATAGCGATACTCGTTCAATAAACGACACCAGATGGCGTAATATATGTATATACATATAAAATTTATTTCGTGTGTCTCGAAAACAGCTCCAACGATTTGGATTAAATTTTGTATTTAGAGAAGATTTTGCTTTTTATTTTATATGTAGATAATATTCTACATATATAGGTGTATTTTCTAAAAAGAAACAGTGGTATAGTGACTAGCATGTACGCCTGTAGATCCGAAGATCCTGGGTTCGAGTCCCGGGTTGGGCCAGTATTGAGTCTTTCTGACAAAAAAAAGAAGAAAGCATCAATTAAAAAAGTACTAGATACACAATCAGCGACAAAAAATGTTTTCACGAATGAGCGCCAATTTGAACATTTGAGCGCCCTTTTAATTATTGTTTTGTGAAAACAACCTTAAGCATTGCATTTAATGTTCAATTTACATTGTCATATATTTATTTCAACTAGAACAATAACCTAAACACAATTGGTGACAGTTTTGAGAGAGCTTTTGCATGAGATTGTGTATCTAGTACTTTTATGATCAATGTCTGAAACCAAAATTACAAAATACCTGGACGCTCGCGCCAACACAGCGGTCATCGCCAATATTTCAGAAGCGGCTTCAGCGAGCCTCGACAGTTCACTAGAAAAAATAAATAAAAAAAAACACATTTGTATTCTATCTCTCTCTCTCTCTCTTAATCTTTTAAAAGTGAGAAGCATTCTATGATAAAATTAAAAATAACAACATACCTTCATTCCTATTCTAAATTTAGAAAACTGCTAAATAAATAATATAAAAAAATATGAAAAGATATATTATTTTTGTCTTTCAATTATCTTTTCTAACCTTATAGAAATTAATCATCTAAAATAAAAGTAACCAAGTTACTCGTTATAACATCAGCTATCTGCCGGTGGAAAAAGTCCCGTCAAAAGCGTTCCAGGCGTTTCGGAGATTAGCCGAAACAAACAGACATAGTTACAGACAGACAGGCAAAAATCTTAAAAATGTAGTTTTTCTTAAAACTACCGTATGTAATTTCAAATGGATTTAGTAAAAAGCTGTTATTCTGACATTATACACAGACATTTCAATTTTATTTATCTTTATAGATAGATGTCAAATATTCGCGTAAACCTAAGAAAGTGTTAATTACTTGTGATTTACCCTAATTTTCTTCGAATCGATTTAGCAAAATAAAAAAAACAGCCAATAATACTTTCTGAGATTTACGCGAATATTTGACATTTTAAATATAACTATCTTTATCATTTTAAATGAAACTAACTTCATTTTTGGTTCCCAACTTACAGACAGTATGTAACAAGTATATAACGCCTTCGAGACATGTAACACCTCAGTCTCTCCTGTGACCATGATTGCTGTAAAGCATTCGAAACGTCGGGAACCAAAAGTGCAAATAAATCCGCGAAATAATCCGAAAAGATAGTTTTATTTAAAAAATCAGCCAATTATCTTTATATACAGGATGTAATATAGTATATATGATCTCCACTCACGTGTAAGCCTGCATCACTTCAGTCCCGTGCCTACTCATGAGCGTTTCACACGTGTAGCGCATGCGCAACACGCAGTACTCTAAATGTTCCGCCGACATCTTCATTGTGGGGTGTAGGTCTTCCGATAGATATAGGTCCAGTTTGGGATCGTCTTTCTCCTGTTAAATTTACGGTTTAAGAATTTATTTCTTAAAATGGAATACAATTTACTTAAGTATTTGAGAAAACAAGATAAGTCTTAATCTATACTAATATTATAAAGAGGTAAAGTTTGTGAGTTTGTGACGTTGTAGGGGGTAATCTCTGGATCTACTGAATCGATTTAGATGAAATTTGGTAAGAAGATAGTTTGAAACACTGCGAAGGACATAGGATACTTTTTATCCCGAAAATCATAGGGTGAAAATAGGGATAAAAGTTTGTATTGGGAAGCAAGCTATGGACGAACCCGAGCGAAGCGAGAGTCAGTCGCTAGTAATAAATATATGCAAACAGGCGGTAAACAAAAATGTAGAACTATAGAAAATAAATTTATCGATTACATTAATGTGAGTATACAAAAGCATAATGCCTCATTACGTATTGCCTTTGCGATTGCAATTAGATAGCAATTTATGTAAACGCTTATTGGTTAGTTGATTTTTGAATAGAAAATATTTAGATCAAGATATTAAACGATATAATTGCACAATACAAATGTTAGTAGGAAAGTATTATAGCATAATTTATATTGGTTTTTATAAATAAAAATATTATTATTATATAAATTTGGATTTTATATTTCCAGAATAGGTATTGATGAAAAATATAGGGGGTAAATATAGGGCAATGGCTGAGAATTACCCCATTTTTCGAAGTCAGTCAAAATATGTGGGATTACAAAAAAAAAAATATGTACCACCTTTTAGTTTTGACCAGTAGGACAATTTGAGTTTTAGTTAACAAGGTACCTCAAATCATTTTGAGCCTAAAGGCAGTGGTAACGCGCTCGCTTGGGAAACCGAGTGAAGCGGATTCAAATCTCGGGGTTGCAAATCATTTTCAACAAGATTATCACTTTTCTTACGGCGAAGGAAAATATTGTGAGGAAACTTGTATGTCTAAGAGAACCTAGGAAGTTTTCGAAAGACATGCTCAGTTCGCTAAGCCGCATTTGGTCAGCGTGGTGGAATATGACATGATGCTCCATATGATCGTATTGAAGGAAGGGACGTTAAAAAGGGCTCAATACAATTGATAGAACAAAACTAATAGCTTTGGAAAAAAAACGACATACAATGTCCGTCATTTCGATTTTTATAAGTCTAACAACGTATAATCCATCAAAATCGATCAAACTAATCAAGTTATTACGGGGAAACATAGGGTCAATCGTACAGATCGAACACATAACACTCCTTTTTAATTGCCGCAATAGGTTAAAGAGCCTTCTATATACATACTTTATATTTCTAATATACTAATAACATTTAACACAATTCTCACCTGATGTCTGTTCAAGATCATTTTCTTGAGGATAAACGACGGATTGAAAAGGGGATTTCGCATTTGTTTTATTTCGGACGCCATCGTTTGCCCCGCATAATGTAAGCCATTCTGAGCTAGAATATAAAATCTAAATTTTTTATTGGTCCACCGACGGTGCACGGTCCACGGTTGCGTGGTACGTCGATAAAAAATAGCCTGTGTTAATCCAGTATATCCACCCCGAAGTGTGTGACCTTGTCGTGGTGTATGGGAAGTGACCCACTTTTTTTTTGTGGGGACATTAACACACATCATCATCTAGTTCCATGGTATAAGGAACTACGAGGCTCGTGTTATGGATACCAGATAGTTGATATACTACACATATACAACTTTAAATACATACATAATTATAAATATGAACACCCATGTCTGGAATACAAAGATTCATGCTCATCACACAAATGAATGCCCCCAACGGGACTCGAATCCGCGACTGCTGGCACAACAAGTTGCGTTACTACAAACTGAGCCAAACGTGTCGTCAAACTTCGGTGGGCGATGTACCATGCGGGTTGCTCCTGGTACTTCTATGATAGCAGACTAGACCGTGGGAGCAACCCTTTGGTTGTGTGGTCTGCTTCGGCAGATCTGCTGTCGGGGCGTCGTGGTCGTGGTCGCAGGATCGCTTACGGTACTGCGCCCCCCCATTATGACGGGGGAGGTTTTGTTGGATTTTAGTGAGTTTAGTACTGGCTTTTGCCAGCAAGTCCCAGATAACCACCTGTATGTATATAGGTGGTATGCGTAAAGGCTTTTCCCAATATTAAAAAAAAGTAAACAGGCTATATACCCGTCGTGTGTTCCCGACTGTCCCGAGTTATTGAGTATTTTTTGACAAAAAGCTCAACAGTTTAATTCAATGTTCTTGTTAGTGGCGTTTTGAACTCATTATAAGAGAATTGAATTGAAGACATAATAAATATCGCGACTTCTTCTCAAAACATTTTCTATAACTAGTGAATATTAAACCTATATGATTGATATCCAGAAGAACTTATAGTAATAATAATATAGTTAAATGTTTACTCTATTCGATTTTGTGTTTTAAAAACACACAAAAAATCAATTAAATAAAAAAACAACATACCTAACTACTAACCTATACCTAAAAGTTATTAAAAAAAATATAAAAAAAATAGACAAGCCATACATACCAATATACAAATTAACGCTTTCAACCGACTCTCCACGTAGAGTGAGCAGCCTCATATCCTCGAGGAGCTGGAGACACTCGTCCTGCTTCTCTATTCCCGGTATCGCGAGAAGTTTGAGGAGTTGGTCCTGTGCGTGTTGTGCTATGAAATTCCTAAATATGGGATAAAAGATATTTAGCTCAAATTGTCGGTAAGTGGTAACATTCAATGAAATTATGAAAAAATAGTATGGTAGTAATATTTAATGTTAATAGTAGATATATTAATACACATATAAAGTAAAAAACTTATACCTAATTAATACGTAGAATGTATATAAAAAAGTTTTTTGACGAAAAAATATATTTTTTTCATTATTAATTGAAAAAAAAATGTTAGTCTTTTTGTAATTTTACATAAAAAATACATATAAGATATTTCTTTTTTTTCAAATTTTAAAAGCTAGTAAAAAATGTAAAATGATAAGTAATTGTTATAAGTTTTGTGCAATAATATTTCCAAAACACAACACTTAAAATTAGAAAAATATCCTAAACTTTAATTACATGTACAATTTTTGCTCATAACAAGAAAAAAAGCAAAAAAAAAAACTTAAATAAATAACCTGCACATGGCAACTTCCAGCTCAGCATCAGGTTCCATATAACCATCCAAAAGACCAGCTGTGAAGTATTCTGTGCTTTCACTTGCATATAGTTTTAATAATGTATCTCCAATATTGGCCCGGATTGTAGATACATTTGATAGGGGTTTACCTTTAAAAAAATATTATACATTGTCAATTTAATCCAAGAAAAAATAATTTTATTATATTATTAAATTAAATATGAAAAAAAAAGATATTTTGTAAAGCTAAATATTAAATATCTACGCTTTTATGTTTCTAGCAGTTCACGCGGCTTCGCCCGCGTTCAAACTAAATTGAACAGTTCTAAAATACGTTTTAAAATAAATTACGAACACACAAAAATTTTGTTATCAATTTCTAATTTTTTTAGTTTAAATATTATTAATACTCACCAGCAAAGAATCTTGGCCGTATATAATCAATACAAGTGTTCATAGACTTTAATAAGCTATTGCGGCACAGAGTAGCTGTGTATAGCCTAGATAAACTCAAGGTAGACGAGATGGTTTCTTCTGCTGTGTCCTCTAAGGGTGTAGCTAAAAAGATGTGTAGAAAAAGATTTAGTATATATGTATGTTACGGGCAACTTTAAAAGTCCGGTCACTATGAATGACCGGTCTGTATACATAACACTCGTATCAAGTAGGCAATGTAAGTAAAGTTGCATAACTAATCACTTTTCCCGGTCAATTTGAATAATGACTGCCCGATTTTGGGCAATATAATAAAAGAGATGAAGTAGTGTAATGTTTTTGTTTATTAAAATATGTAATTAACTTACATAATTCTTATTGAAAGTTAAAAAAAAACATGTGTGTGTACTTATTTACGCACGTAGGAAGTTATATTTTTTTGGCGTAACAGAACAAAAATAGCTAAAGATTTTATCCCGTATGTCACAACTCTCTGTTTGTAAAATGAATGCAGCAAACTTCACTATGTCGCTTTTTGGTTGTCGGAGGGCGCGCGCATCGTATAAATTCTACTCTCATATTTCTTTCCAAACGTGCCAAAAGAAATATGACTTCAAAAAGCAAATCGACATGGTAGTTCAAAATAAGTTAACAGTTAAACTAAAAAATTGCTCAGCTAGAAATAGGGAAGTATTCATACTGCCCAGTCCAAGTGATAACTTAAGCTATCCCAAACATTTACTTTTTAAATGGACCACGGGCCGTCGGATATTATTAATATGGACTAGCTAAAGTAATAAATTTATCTACAAGACAGACGCTCTTGGTCATTATTCACAATGATTGGTCAATATTAAAAATGCCTACTGGTTAATCAAGTTGCCAATAACATATACATTTTAGTCTTATCATATAAGCATGCAAAAATAATAAAGATTGTCAACAAATCCAATGGTAATATCAATACATATAAATTTTCACAATAAATAGTCTACTTAAAGGAAATCCTATTATCCCTAAGACTTTGGTAAGTAGACATTTTATTGAATAAATTCGAATCAGGCACATGGCAAAGAAATAACATGAAAAATTAAATCCAAAATAAATAATATTAGTATTATAAATGTGAAACTTTGTGAGGATGTATACTTTGTTACTCTTTCACGCCAGAACGGCTGAATGGATCTGGATAAAATTTGGCAAACAGTAAATTATAATCTGACTTCCAAAACAGGTTACTTTTTATCCCGGAAAAATGTATGGTTCCCGTGGGATAGATTTGTTTTTGTTTAGGAACAAACCCAAAGCAAAGGTGAATCGCTAGTGTAAATATACATTAAAAAAAAAACAAGAAAATACATTGACTTATTTCTGTGTGAAAGTAAAATATACAAACACACATTCTCATATTAATAAAATTATTTCGATCATAAAATAAAATGCTTTTTCCATATTCTTACCAGGAGTACTTTTGAATGTGATAAAATTTTTAGTGTTACTTATTCCCTCCGCTCCAGGATGTACTAAAAATGCTTTGAACCTTGTGCTTTCAACAAGACACAAGACCACGAGGTATCCTGTTCTATTGGTACATATCTTTTCACCGGTTATATGCCATACACCTAGAAGAATATATAAATAAATTTTTGAACTATAAAAAAGAATTTAAATTGATAGGAAAATATCCAGCTCCAAAAAACTAAATTTTAGTATTAAATTTTTTTTTTAAATATCATAATGATATGGATACTTTAAACACCTGCCATTACGCGCACTTGACATGACGTCACAGTATATCATATACAGAAAAATGACGACGCAATTTGTATATTGCTAATGGGTCTGTTATGATAAACTCTGACATCATATTCGGTCTGAGGGCCGTTGTATTGCAACTGCTTAGAATTTTCCACCTAAATTTGCACTTTTTTATTTTTTTACTTACTCAGAAAGAAATTATGCTAAAAAATATTAATATATGCTTAACTCAAAAGCAATAAAATAAATATTTCACCTTTATTTAAATCACATGCATATTCCCTATTGTTAATTTATCCTAATATTATAAAAAGGCATTTTGTCTGTTTGAACACACTAATCTATAAATACTTATTGCATTAGATAACCTGTTTATTGAGGAAGCTAATGCTTACTACCTAAGGGAGCAAAGCAGTATTGATTAATGCGGGTGAAACTGTGGGGCACAGCTAGTTATATTATATAATATATTAAATTTCATATTATATAATAAAACTCCTCCCTTAAATTTTCCTTTAACTTCCAATTTATAGAATTAAAAATTAAGATAAACTTTATTTTTTTTTAAACTTGATACCTAGATGCATTAAAATTTACCTCTTCCATCCATTTCAGCAACAGTCCCAAAATCTGCTTGCAATAACCTCTCACATATTCTTTCTTGTATACACATGTTAATAGTTTGCTCGCCAGAAGTCACGTCACTAATTAACTTTTCATATACATCAGTGTTTAACCCAGCCTTGAGAACATTTAACCCAACCCAATGATCACTTATTTCCTGCCCCAATTGGAGATCTGATGATATAATATCTAGATATCTCAAACTTTCTGTGTAGTTCATTGCCAATCCTCCGTTGGTTAGATTCACTGGGGCACTATACATGCCTGTCCTTACTAAAGCATTTCTTCTATCTTCTTGAGTTTTTGTCTTATCAGAAAATACTTTATCTAATGCTGCAATTCTGGTGTCTAAAGCAGTGGATTCTTCTTTGTTTAGTATTTCAGGATAGGCAAGCAAATCGCGATTAAATATGGAAACGAAAACGTTCTTCATAAAAGGAGGGATTTTGGCTTTTCTGCGCTCTACACGTTCTAAAACTTTTAAATCTTCGAAATCAAACTTTTCTTCTTGAACTTGAGGTTGAGATTTGGCTGATGAATCGCAATGAACGGCGGAAAATCTGAATTTTCTATATATATTTTTCCGGGCATTTTGATGTGGTATTAAGGGACAAACTTTGCGAGCTATATTCATAATTAATAATAAAGTTTATAGAACCACAATTTTTTAAAATTAATAGGTAATGACAACGTTAAATATTTATTTTATTTATTATTTTATATAATTTATTATTCGCTTTTTAGGTTATTAGGACTATGACATAAACCATATGACAATTGACAGGCGACAGCTGACATTAAATAATTGCCATTTAAAAATATCAAAAATTACTAAAATTATTATTAGTACTTTATAAAATATACAATAAAATAAATATGTTATTATATACAGATGATTTGGTTTGATTATTAATCACTTTTAATTTTAAAAATAACGTTGTCTATACATACATCTTGGGATCCGCCGCCTTAAGGGAAGTCAGCCAAGCTGGTATAAGTTGCGCACCCGTTCAGATGAAACTTAAGATGCAAATCATTAAGTTTATAGGAAATGAATGTTGAGCAATATAATAAAATTGTAACTAAGCCGAATCTGTACAATATTTTTCGGAAAATCTTATTGAAATATACATACATTATCGATACACAGGCCGAATCTATAGTTTTTAGAATTTTTGTCTGTCTGTCTGTCTGTAATCGCGTCACGGAAAAACTACTGGAGGGATTTTGATGAAATTTGGTATGATGATAACTGGTTATCCTTTTTTTTTTCTTTGTTTTCGCTGGGGAAACCCATCATGGGGACTCTGCCGCCGTCATGGGCAGGGTACTGTGAGACTCCTACTCACTAAAACCCACAGCGGAACCCTTCGCCGCAGTGCAATGGGGCGTGCAGGATCGCTTTCGCACTCACTGCAACACCCCTGCGGACGGCTCGTACCACGCGGGCCAGCCTCGCCTAATAGCTGGTTATCCGGGTCAACATATAGGATACTTTTTATTGCGAGAAAATATCTTATCTCTGAGAAATCTATAGTAAACGCTAAAAAGTAAATAGGGACGTACCCGAGCGGAGCGAGGGTGAGTATATATATATATATATATATATATATATATATATATATATAAAGTGTAAAATGATATGAATCATATTCAATTCTATTATCTACTAAGAAGTGTTTTTCTTTTGTTATTTTCAATTTTTGATTAAAAATTAGATTAAAGATCAACAACCGTGGCAGAATCCATATAAAACCAGAAACATTTAATGAAAATACGAGTATATAAAATTATGTAAATGACAAAAAGTTAAAATTGAAACACGTAATTCCATAAGTTCGAGGAACGTTATATTACCACGGAGGATTATTCAAAACAATAAAGCTTCTTAACCTGCTAATTTATTTTCGGTCAATGGTACCTTCATCAGTGAATGGAAATGAAAGCCTCTTGTATTTGGCCCAATTATGGTATATATATTTAGATATTACGAACAATCGCGCCACTTTAATTGAATATGAATTTTATTATTTGGCAACTCCAAAAGGAGAGCTAGTGATGTGTAAGGGTAGTACATTTTTTTCATGGCAAAAATAAATATGGAATTAATCTTGTAAGAATAAAATCTATACTTCCATACTAATATTATAAATGTAAAAGTGTGTTTGTTTGTTTGTTTGTTTGTTTGTCTGTCTTTCTTTGACGTCGAAACGTAGTGACGGGTTGGCATGATTTTTGTGTGGAGATAGTTGGAGGGTTAGAGAGTGACATACGCTACATTTTACTGCGGGAGATTATCTCACTCCCACGGGAAAACACGTTATAATAGGTACAACCCGAAAAATTATTTATGATCATAAATACTTGAAACTTGGTATTAATGCTCTTCAATACTATTAAATAAATACGCGTATTAGCAATTTTCAAAATACATCCCACAATGGGGTAATAAACTAATGGATTGAAATTTTTTTATAGTTTTAGCGCGAGCGAAGCCGCGGGTTCCGTTATTAGGTAATATAAAATAATAATGGTGGTTTACGTAAAAATACCTTATTGTTAGTGTTGTATATTAACAACACCTTAAGATATTGTTAATTATCTTATATCTTCTAGGTATATCTTTCATAATCAAGTATGTCTTAAGTAATTTTGAGAATTTCAATGATTATATTATATTTCCCATTGATGTTTTTCGTAAAAATTTGTAATTATTTAAAAAATAACAATACATATTTATGATATAATTATTATATTAGCACGAGTGGCAATCATCAACAAAATTTGTCCATATCTCATTTTCATCTTAAAGTGAAAAACCAGATTCAATTACTTCACATCGATATTTAAAACCAAATCAATGGCTACTGTTCCTTATCAAGTATCTTTAAAATATTTCAATACTTTAAACTTTATAACTTAAAAAGGAAAATTCTAATATATCACGGAATTTTCCAAGGCACAGCCCTATTCACCCTTAGATGGGGGCTTGAACCACCCTCTCTATGATTACAGAAATATTAACTCACCATAAGAAGGTTTAAGGATCATATTCGTACGGTCCAATCGAATTTGTTATTTTATATAATGATAGCTATGTGCTACCATGAAATAATCAGTAGAAGTCGTTCATTCGCGGGGTGTGTGTGTTTCAGGACTTTGAAACACGTTTATGATCACAAAACAGTGGTTGTAGTGTATTTTTATGTGAAATAATGTGTAAATATACGTTAAATCTCCATGTGACAATTTGAGTGCATCGTGCTTGAATATATTGTTATAACTACGCAAAGTCACATGAAAGAATTAGTGATTTCATGTCGTTGAGATTAAAAGGAAAATTATTGATGGTATGTCAGTTTACATTGTTATATTTTAATTTTTATTATTGGATTTCGATAATTAGCGACAGTAATTGGATTTGTGACATCTGATTGGCGCATAGACTGGCTTTATTTTTATGTAGATTAAAAATGTGGATATTAGTTGCTTATCGATAGAAAAAATCAATAATTATGATAAACAAAATTTTTAATGATTGTAAATACTAGAATAGTAAACATGTGGTACGTAATTTACCTATAATTAAAATTAGATAAAATATTTTTTTAATAATATTATTTTCAGTCATTGTAAGCATAAGCCTATACCTATTTATTAAAAAAAATAGCGCTTGCCGCTTAGCGCTTTTCTCTTACGTCTATTGCACACTAAAAAAGGTAGTAAATAAATAATATAAAATAGATATTCATCAAAGAAATTCAGAAAATTTGTAATGAAGAATCAAGAAACCTAAATTAAGCATGACATAATTAAACAAGTCGTTGTTGTGTTCTACTTTCGGCTGACGAAAAAAATGGAGTAAGTTTTTTGTAGTGTCTGCTTTGTTTGACTTAAATCTAGAATGCTGTTTTACACTTGTTATTAGAGAATAACAGAGGTTTTAATCATAATGTATTTAATAATAACATTTTAATACTTTAATATTCACATAATAAAAAATACTTGTTTCTAAATATAATGAAAACTTCATGTTTATCTATACATACTAGCGAGTAGCGACTCACCCTCGCTTCGCTCGGGTTCATGCCTAGGTACGTTTCAATTTTTTGAGAGGAACCCTAATTCTTTTTCTAAAATAAAAGTAGCTTATGTTACTCCCTATAACATCAGCTATCTTCCAGTGAAAGTCCCGTCAAAATCAGTCTAGCCGTTTCAGAGATTATCCGGAACAAACAGACAGACATTTTTTTTTAAATTGTGTTTTTCTTATAAGTACCGTATGCATTTAGTAAAACGCTGTTATTTTGACATTACAAACATACACTTCAATTTTATTTATCTATATAGATAATAACATAAATTTAAGTGAGGTAAATCTGTACATAAAATATTTTTGAAAATCCTATAGAAATAGTCATTATTATCGATACAGAGGCAGAATCTATAGTTATTAGAATTTTTGTGTGCCTGCATGGGAACGACAATAAAACCACTGGACAGATTTTGATAAAATTTGGTATGATGATAGCTGATTATCTGGGTAAACATATAGGATACTTTTTACAGCGGGAAAATATCTCATCTCTGAGAAATCTATACTAACCGTTAAAACGGACCTAGGGACAAATTCGAGCGTAGCGAGAGTGAATCACTAGTACGACATAAATAAGCATATGATAAGCTTTTATATTTGGAACTTGTCAAAATCAGTCAAATATTAAATATGCCACGGTTTTTAGTAGCTATTGAAGTTTCACTATCCACCTCCTGGCCTCTTCAGATCAGCTCAAGGATATGAAGTTATCGATATTTCCCATACAACGTTTTAAATATCTTATATATAAAATTTCCATGTCACAATGTTTGTTACCGTACTCCTCCGAAACGGCTTTACCGATTTTTACCAAATTTTATATGCGTATTCAGTAGGTCTGAGAATCGGCTACTATCTATTTTTCATACCCCTAAGTGATAAGGATAAGGGTGGTCCTCCCAGACCCCACCCAATAGACGAACCCGAGCGGAGCGAGGGTGAGTCGCTAGTATAGATATAAAAATTGGCACTTAGTTAAAATCAGGTTCAAAGATTTAACTACATAGCGATAAAATGTCTAGTTAAATACCATTTAAATTAATCGATTCAAAAACCCACTTACCTGCACTTATAATCACAGAAAAAGAAATCTAAATTTTGGCAATGTATGACACGGGATTCTCTTCAATATGATCTGATCCCGATCCGAACCCCTGACCTGACCCCTGATCGCCCAGGCCATAATCCACCAAGCCGGCCAAGTGCAGATTGGTGGATTTTACGACTTTCGGTAACTAGTTAAGTTTTCTAAGACATGCAGGATTCATCACGATGTTTTTCTTCACTTTAAGGCAAGTGGTGATCATGTTGAAAATGATTCGCACATGAAATGCATTAGAGGCGCGGGACCGAGGGTGGAAACCCGCTATACTTGGGTTTCCCATAGAGTTACTACTGGAATACACTAAATATTGGCAAATTAAGATAGAATGAATTATTTCAATATTTTTTCTTTTTTTTTTAAATATTGTTGACTATAGACTTTTGTCTATGGTAAACGCTTTCAAACGGACGGACGGATCCCATCTCTTAGAACT